GGAGTTAACGAATTGTAGGAGTAAGGGTTGGGTAATACCAGAATGTTTTAATTTCTTGATGTAGAAGGTAAGACAGAATATTTTCTTAGAAATCGTCAAGATATGAGACAACCAGGAGAGATCAGCAGATAGAATGATGCCTAGGTATTTAATTTCCGACTTGGTTTCTATTACAGTGATGAGAGTGCCTATGGGCTATCGTAAAGCCAATGCTAAAGAGGTCTGCAAAGCCCTATATCCCACTAGGAACTCAAGGGAATAATAATAAGCATATTATTAGAAGTCATTAAGTTCACTTCGTAAGGAATAAAGTTTATTTTTCTTCATGTTCCTTAATTATTTCATTGACTTCAAGGGATACTGTTAGAGTTACAACTTGTCCTTCTTAATTGCAAATTTATTTTTGTTTTCATTCCTTCAAATGAAACTACTCATCATTTAGCCTCATGATTCTTCTATTTGTTTGTTGTTGTTGTTGTTGTTTTTTATTAAATGCAGCCAAGTTCACATCAACTACCATCTCGTCTGTTTGCTGTCACTCCACTAAGCTGGTGTCCACATTTAGCCTCAGTACAAAATAATCCTACTTGGGAACCGGATATTCACACGTTATGCAGACGTTGTGATAATCATAGCGAGAATTGGGTCTGTTTATCTTGTTATGCGGTAAGTTGTTTTTTCCTCATTTTCAGCAACTATTGAAGATCAGGGTGGGGGTACTGGACAGTTGCTTCATCCTTGTTTGGAAGCCTTCAGCAAGTTTTGGGTTCGATTCCTGATGGAGTCACAGGTGCCTACTGTTGGAGAATCTCTAGACAAGGATGAAATAAGCTGTCCCTGGTTTTCAAAGGTGGTTGTTTAACTGCATTTAGTTCGTGATCAGTTTTTGTGATTATTTATAATAAAAAAATGATTACCGAGTAGTATAAATAACCATCTAACTTTGTGAGTACTGGTCAAACTGTATTCCTCATACATGGAATGTACTCATCGAACAGATCGACATGACATTGAATAGACTATATATTTATTTATTTTTTATTTTGATTTACAGCTTGATTCCACACCGTATTTTCAGTACAAGTATGGAATTTTCAGCATGGATATCGGTTGCCCAAATTCAGGCATACCATAGATATCGGGTGTGCGCCGGCAGGGGATCGAACCCCGGACCATGTGCATGGTCGGCGAGAGTCCTAACCACTGTGCCACCGATGCACTGTCTTTAGGATGTAGTAAATCGTGATCCAGTTGGCTCACTAGTAACATCTCTATCTTCAGAGCTTGGTAATATGTGAGTTTCAATCACTGAGGTTGTTGTTGTTGACGACGAGTGTCAATATGAGCATGATATGATACCTAGCTCTCCAGAGCTTCCCGGCCAACTGCTTCCAACCTTCTAAAAGATCAAATAAAGTCTAATTATATTTCAATGGTTTACACACAATGATAATTGTTTTGTTATTGGTAATATTTCGAGCAGAATTACTGCCCGTGATCACACCAATGTTGGAATTGTTTTTTTGTTTGTTTTTTGCATTTCACACATTTGTGATTTGTTTTCATATGTATAGTTCATTTTTTTGTCCAGTCACTTTTGTGTATTCAGAATCATATTCCAGGTTGTTGACAGTTGTGCTGCCGAGTCACTATTGTTCCATGTATCCGGTGTGACCTTAATGAATATCGATTCTGTCATTAGTCCGTCTTTCCACTGCTGGCCACCATCCACCAATTAAATTCTAATTATATGCCCAGACATCGTCGAAGCATCTGCACAAGAAGCCAACAGACATGTCAACCTGAAACCGAGCACTTCGGTTCGATCAATCGACGGGAAAATCTAAAATTGAATTAAATAATTAATATGACCTGTTGCACAAGAGGTGGCTGGCTCTCGTGGTCCAAGTGGTCTAGTGGATAACGCTTTGGCGTTTGAAATTATGGGCACTGAGTTTGAGCCTCGGTGGGAACATCATCACTCACTGGTGAATGCAGATACATCCAGCTAGCTGACGAGTCCCAAATAGGACGAAATTCGCGTTGTCCTGGATTCTACTGCTAGTCACCATCCACCAGTTAAAATCTCTTTCCATTTGTTCATATTAGTTTTCAGAATATTGCGATTTTTGTCCCATGCATGTGCAGCTATAGATGATTTTTTTTCTAAATTCTTGTAAGTTTGTGTTCCTGTTGGTTGACCTTTAGTCAGTTAGGCGTTTATGTTGATTCACTCTTATTTTGAGTGATCTGGATGTTTGACCCACATATTTGATTGGACACTCGGCACAAGATATTTTGTAAATCACATTGTTTTTATTCATCATTTTATGTAACAAGGGTGACTCAGCAACCTGGAGTATAATTCTGAATACACAAAAATGAATAAACAAATAAACATGAACTATATATATGAGTTAATATCAGTAAAAAGTTTGAACATATATATATGAGTACAAATCATAAATATGTGAATTAAAAAAAAACACAATCCCAAAAGTGGTGTGAACACGGGCAGTAATTTTGCTCGAAATATTACCAATAACAAAACTTTAATAATAATAATAATTTACTTTATTCCAAAACAGTACTTGTGATACAGAATGGAATTCTCAGCATTTTTACTACAGTATTGCATCCAGTCAGTACGTTATCAATAAAATAGAATTCTACATAGATTAAGGAAATCTCAGTTCATTATGACAACAACATATTGGGATGTCGGTAGCAAAGCCAAAGTTGAACAGTGAAGGTGTTAGAAAAGTGGGAGCTGTCATATTTACTGGCGTAAGTGGAAGGAAGAAGCAAAGCAGCACATAACGGAAAAAGAAGAGAGAGAAAAGGAAAAGAAAGAAAGAAAGAAAATGTTGTACCTATTGATGATGTGGGTTGGAAAGACGAGATCCAGTTGTACTACTGACTATTTAATGAATTATAGGTGTCACGCCTAATGCTTTCTTTATCACACAGAACACGAGCTAAGTAGGGTATGGTTGAGTTTTTGTACTTGCTGGTGCGAGAATATAGTTTTCTATATAGGCTTCTGGTTTTGCCTGATGAGATGCAAGGGTAGAGTTGTGAGTGAAGAGGGTGGTGTGAGTTAGATAAAATGGATTTGGCCCATTTTTCACATGAGTCCATGTGCCTGTCGATCAGAATATTAACAAGCTGGTTAAGTGGCACGTTGCTTACCCTTCTGACAACCTTTAACATCCTGCGTAATATGTTATAGTCTTTCTTCAGTAGCCCAGGAAAAACTAAGGGGGAACAATAGAGAATAACAGGCAGAATGCGAGAGTTAACGAAACTTATCATTATGTGTAAACTATTGAAATATAATTATACTTTATTTGATCTATTCCACAATGCTCAACTTTTTACTGACATTAATTCTAATAGATCACTTACCTCTACAGTACATTGTAGGGTAATTGTGTTCTGATCCTTGATCATAAGCCGGCCGAAATTCATATTTTTTGCTAAATTTGATCTGTCCTATTATTCAGTTCTCAAATCGGATTGTTGCAACAGACTGTCTGTAGAATTGGATGCTATGTAAGCGAATTTGTAGCCTCTAAGTAACCGGCATAATTGTTTAATTCTAAGTGCTAAAGACTTACAACAACACGAACAATGGGTATATAAGATATCCTGAAGATTTGGAAGTTTAACTAGTGTAATACACGCCATGTCAATGATGATCACGAGTTATACACAGCCAAAATGCGGTTGAAAAGTAACTTCTTTTATGATTATGTATTTTCTCAAATTCCTGAAACTAATATCTGAAATTTCCCAATCATCATTGAGAATTCAATTTACTTCATTTTTGATCATGAATTGATGTCAGTTAGAGAACTAGTGAAAACCAGTAGAGGGTACTGGACTGGACAGCTGTTTCGTCCTAGTTTGGGACTCTTCAGTAGTACACACCCACTCGGGGTTCGGGGTGAGAGGACAAATACTCGCTGATAAAATCACGAATTAGTATAGAAGTTGGTATTCATTGACCATTGGATTAGATCTCAGTGGCTGGGCTGGTAGGTACGTACTATTGAAGAGTCCACAACTAGGACGAAACGGCTTTCTAGTAGTACTCCTCAGTGTCCAGTTGTCTTCTAACTGAAGTCTGTACGTGATATGTTTTGAAATCAGTAGATCTGTGCTGGTGCATGGGTATCTTCATCACCTCCGTCTTCTCTATGTTCACTTGAAGTCCTGTCATCGCTGTCTGGCTCTTCTGCCAGTTTTTTTTTGGTTTTCGCCTACAAGTCTTCGAGTATGTGCGACATGAAACATAAATCATCCACGCGCGAAATCCAGATCTTCTAGAGTCTTCCTATCAGTCCAACGTATTCCCTTCTGTTCTCTCATTCACTGAAATTAAGAATATGATCGGTAATAAGGGGCGGCAGCCTTGTCTAACTGCTGTCTTCACTTTAAAGACTTCAGTGAGTTTCCTGTTTTGGACCGGCTAACACGGGGCATTGTCAGCTGTTGAATAAGGTTGATAAAGATTTGGTGCATTCCAATCTATAGTGTTGAAGTGTTCACGATCAACTTGGTCCGTTGAAGGCCTTTTCAAAGTCGAAGTATTGTATTATATGTTGGCCAATGGGTTATTTTGATTGTAGGTGGTCAGAAAAAATCGAAAGGAAGTCCTAGACTTAACTAGATTGTATTCTTGTTGACACTTATCAGTGAGGCATATCTGCCAACTTGAAGCAGCTGTCGCTCCCACTAAAGATTCAAAGCTGCGTCACTCTATTCTGCAGTCAAAGGCGTCACCAATAAAGCTATTCGAGTTCACGACTGGTCTGTAGGAATGTAATAAATAAATAAATAAATAGATTGGTCACTAAGGTATTTGTTTGTTTACTTTTGACCTGTTTTTAACCTTTGGTTTCATAATTGTGTATATTATTCATTTGAATTGCTAATTTTCTTTTCTCTTTTGCTTTGTCTCTCTCTCTACCTATTTACCTACCTACTTGTGACAGGTTTATTGTGGTCGTTATGCTAATTCGCATATGATTGAACACTTTTCGTCATCACGACATCCTATTGTCCTTAGTTATGCTGATCTATCGTCATGGTGTTATGAATGTGAATCTTATGTACATAATGAGGTAAGAGGGTTTTATTAAAAAATATAAAAAGAAATTTCATTTTTTTTATTATTTGGTTGATAATTATGATAATATTAGATGGTTGGAGGCAATCGGCCTCAGGAAACCTCGCTTGACACCTAGGTTTCTTGCTAGTTGGCACTCTTCCAATACAGTTCTACACCAGGAGGTCAATCACGAGCCCGAATAGCTCAGTTGTACCGTCTCTGACTGCAGGAATGAGATGACGCGGGTTCGAATCCCAGAAGAGGTACACCTTGCTGACTGATGAGTTCCAACTAGCACGAAACCTATGTGTAGACAAGACTTCCTATCGCTTGCTTTCAACCATCTAATATGAACTATTCAAAGTGCTCTGTGATGGTGAGCCACCTAGCGGCATGGTGGGCACATTGCAAACTTGATTGATAGAATTCAATTTGCACCAAATGATAGGTTAGACACATTACATTAGTTACTGTGACTAGTGTCCAATCAAAGGATTATGATAATTTCATACATTTATTCCCCTTAATGAATTTGAACAAAGCAAGAACTACAGTTTTTGCAGAATAAAGTGGTACCATCTTTTATTTCGTTGCCTTCTCGTCAGCTACTTACAGGCCAAAGACATTATTAAATATATCTACAAAAACAATTTTAACATACTTGCACAGAGTTCATTTTAAACAGAAATCAATCGATCAATATATGCATACAGTGGTAATCTATACATAATAATGTTGAAGACTTTTCCAAACAATAGTGATCATACACAATGGAAACTTTTCAGCATTACACATTCAGATGAAAGAGAGATGAAAATATCCAGCTATCTGCGGGAGCAGTTACATTGGAAGGACAGAAAGAAGAGCATATCTACGATTTTCTGAACATGTACCAAAAAGCTTATGTCTAAAGGGAACAAATGCTTTAAACAGTGCCATCGCCAGGCATCTCCTTGACACGGGTCATGAGGTGGACGTCGAAAAGTCGTTCAAAATTATCAATAGGCAAAAGAGCTCAATTCTCCTCAAGTTTGCTGAAGCCATTTCCATCAAGCGCCTGAAACCTGATTTGTGCTTTCAGAAAGAAGCGGTTATCAGTCTTTCTTTGCCCTGGTAACTGGATATTTTCATCTCTCTTTCATCTGAATGCGTAATGCTGAAAAGTTTCATTGTGTATGATTATTATTGTTCGGAATAGTGTTTAATATTATTATGTATATATTATTACTGTATGCATATATTGATCGATTGATTTTTGTTTAAAATGAACTCTGTGCAAGTATGTTAAAATTGTTTTTGTAGATATATTTAATAATGTCTTTGGCCTGTAAGCAGCTGACGAGAAGGCAACGAAATAAAAGATGGTACCACTTTATTCTGCAAAAACTGTAGTTCTTGCTTTGTTCAGATTATGATAATGATGACTAGTAGTGGATTTGAAACAAAAGAGTTTCGTCCCGTTTTGGGACTCGTCAGGACTGTTGGTGAACTTTTCTACATCCCAGTGATAGTGATTTATTAAATGGTGTCTCTCCACCTGGGGAGACTCTAACTGAACAGCCATCGTCTCAAACATTAAAAAATAGCTTCATCCATTGGGGATCATGAGAAGAATTTAATCTTATGTTTCCGCTGTATTCACGCTTAACCTCCCTTCAATGTGAGACGTTTAAGCATTTCCTATTAGCAGCATATCACTAGTAAGCTAAACGCTATTTACTTGAATTCGTCATTTTGAGACATAAATGTATTCAAAAGACGGTTTCAGCGAAGATGTTGTCAATTAGGCTTTACATTCGTGTGTATATATGAAGTAAAAGGGTGAAACAGTTTCAAACCTATTAACTGTTGTGGATCAAATCTTGGACGAATGAGAAAATTACAAATAGGGATTGAAAATGCAATCATAATAGATTATAGGAATTATTAAAAAAAGACGGTTACAACGAAGAAAATTTTTCTTCTCAACGAAGAAGTTGTCAACTTGACGGTACATTCGTGTATTTCTAGTAAATGTTTTTGAAATATTTATTTCCCGATACGAATTTGAAACAAACAACAAAGGTCAGTAAGGGGAAGGATTTAATGAATTCATCAAATTTCGGTAGAACTCTTCCTCAACTGGATAATTTACATACAGGAATTTATATATACTATTGGAAATACATAGTGGTTGAACATACTTCTTCTGTATGCAAAGAGATGGTCTTCTGGTATTAATTGCAACCTCTTCAGCTACTGATAGAAGACGTAGTCGAGCTTCTCTAGATAAATTACTAGGAACGCGGTAAATAACTGAGAACGCCTGGTCAAGTTTTATCGGGTGTCCCGTATCTACCAAGTGGGCTAAGACTGCACTATTTACGCATTTGGTTACTCCTTTACTCAACCATACAGGTACACGTTCACCCGCGCGCATGGATAAAGCCCTCTGAGTACGGCCAATGTAACTAGCTCCACATAAGCAGTTGAATTCATAGATGCACATTGATGAGGCCATCTTTGGTAATTTATCCTTTACTTGCTGTGTGAGTACTGATTTAGTTGAGAAGTTGAGTACCAGTTTAGCTGCACACACATCATTAAATTAAATTACTTCATCTGATTTTGCCCCATGTTCTCATTCACCATGCATATTAAAAAAACTATCTGACTATTGTTCCATCCCATCTTATACTTGTTCCATAATGCACTTTCTGATATGATTCTAATTTGCCTTTACTGGCCGGCTATTGTATGCTTAAATTAATGGATTTATAATTGTCGAGCCTGAAGAAGAGTTTATTGAAAACAATTGTTCGCTCTAAATATTTTATTGGAAATACATTGGGAGATACAAGATTAATAAGCAAATAAACTACACTGAATTAGTGATGCAAAACGATACGTCTGAACGTTTCTTTTCAAGTCATGTTCAAATGGATAGTGGGAAGGGTGTAAGAGAAATTAAAATTACGCGTCAATTACATCATCTAGATAAACAGTTATTAGTCATTAGAAAAAGAACTGAGTAATATTAATAGTAACAGTTATCGTAAAATGTGGGTAAGAAAGTTCCAGAACTATTTTCTGTCAAGGGTTAAATTATTAAAATGAAAATAAAGTGTAATCGACAGTGTGAGATCGGATGAAAAACAAACATAGTAGGATGATAATTACTGTTTGTGCAATGCGGGATTAAAAGTGTAATAGTAAGGAAAGAGGCAGGGAGTTCGGATAGGGATTGAGAAACGTAAAAATTATAGAAATAAACATGAAGACTGGATAAGAAAGGTAACAGGACTGACTCTTTATGATGGCCATCGTTGGGGACAAGGAAGGTTTGATCGGATCTTCTAGATGACATTGAAAGACTTTTCAAATGGAGTTGAATGTCCTGAATTCACCAGAGGGGTTCTGTTACTGAACTATAAACACCCTTGAGTTCTCCATTTTACTAAACATGTTGGATAGTGGTCCCAAGTGGCTTTTACAAGCCGATGCATGAAATACTTCTGGAATAGTACTATTATCTATCTATCCTACTATATTTATTTATCCGATCTCGACGTATATTAAACTTTAATATATGTGTAAAACTTGGGCGCTGTGGTAGTAAGTAATTCCATATTAGTTTGTTTATTGGATATATCACACAGTGAAGAAACAGTATTATTTACTGAATGACGTTTCGAACAAAATTTATTGTTCATAATCATTTCATCAATTATAATCACACGACTTTGAAACTTGAGTTTTATAGTTTTCTTTGTTCTCTCCTATTTGTCGTCGTAGGGGTAGTAGAATTTTCCAGATATCTGGGTGGACAGGTATTGAATCATTCCTATTACACGTATTGTCTCTCAGTTGATTCGATAAACAAAGCCTCCGTTATCAATCTCTTCCTCCATCCTTGTAACATTAGATTTTACAACTGTCATCTTATCCCATCATCCTATAGTGTATGGCTGTGTGATTGCATGTAGTGGTTGCTATAGCTGAACTATTCTCTAGATTTCTTATCTTATTTGGGTCAACTAATCTAGATTTTGCTAGGTTTTTATGTTCGGCTAGTCTGACTGCATCTGTTCTACTACTTTGACCTGACAATCATTCCAGTTGGGTATTAGATGAACTAAATTGTTTTGTTTTAAAGGCTCCATTGGCAGGATCCTTTAACTGACAAAGCTTGTTTCTGATTGAGTTTGTGGGTTTGAATAAACAAACTAATATGGAATATATTAAACTTTGTAATTTTACTAACTTGACCCTTGACCGAAAATAGTTCTGGAAACTTTCTGTCAAGTTTGAAACTGGAAACTTTCTCACTCATTTCATATAAATACACGAATATACAGCTGAGTTGATGACTTCTTCTTTGTTGAAAAGAAAATTTTCTTCGCTGTAACCATCTTTTTAATAATTCTTGTGATCTAATTAGAAAATTGATTGTGTGTTTAATGACCCCATGGCAAAGACAAATTGTGATGTAATCATAAATTGTTATGAAAATTTTAACTACACTGTGCCTATAGACTATAGACAGAAGTGACCTCAGAATTTGTAACCTCTAACCCTTTCATTTCTCTCTCTCTCTCTCATTTATCAATATACCAATAGAAATGATCTGGTCAAACTTTCATTTAGTTAGTATGTGATTACTAAGGTCATCAGTTATGAAACTTTCTCATCTATTTACTCGATTACTTCTTCGTCGAATAGACAAAGTTTGTCTTCGCTACACACCGTCTTTTTAATATTTCCTATGATTTAAAATAATTCATGTTGACCTTTTGACCTCATAATATCTAGAAAGAATTAAATTTTGACCCACAATCTTTGTATTTTGTATTACTCCTTTGTCTGATTATTATTATTATTATTATTATTATTATTAAGTTGAAATGCTCGGACTCTTTTGCTATATTGACTTCTACGATAAACTCCTCTCCAGTGACTTGCTTTGATATTTTAACATGCAGCCTATTGAATAACGCATATCGATTGAAACATTGAGTGTTGAGTTTTAATCTCGAAGGGAATATGATTGCTCACACTGGATGGGGAGTACGTGCAGTGATGAGTCCCAAAGAGGACGAAACCTGCGTAATGGATTCTACTGTTTACCATTAACAGCTAATCACTTCTGAGTAAATGATGTCGAATTGTGTCGAGCATGAGTTATTGTTCTCGGTAGTACAATCAATTCTATAAACTGTAAGCACCTCAGTTTCTTCGATGTCGCGCATTACACCATCCTGATTAACGCCAATAAAGCACGGAACTTATGAATTGTCTCCAACCTCCTAACTATCGTATAACCACATTTCAGACTTCACCTATTGAATGTAGACAGTACTCTAGCAATAATGTAGGCCAAGAAGAGGGTGTATTGTGATGATAGGCATACTTACTCCGGTGCCCAGTAATAGCCATGTTTCTACACTTGAAGGCGGAATTCGACTCTGTCGACCGACAGGAGCTATGGAAATGTTTGGTCTTAAATGAAGTGCCGAAAAAGTACATCACACTAAGCAAGGCACTCGACTCGAACTCACACAGTTGTGTAAAAGTTTATGTAAAGTTGTCATCCGAACTGATGACAACCAGCGTTTTCCTCAATGCCCAATGTCTCCATTTCTGTTTAATTTCATCATAGATATGTATGTATTAGTTAATAGATGGGACCCTAATTAACTTTAGCGACTCAGACAAGAAGTCGCTATCAGGATTATAGTCTTGTTGACTTAGAGTATGCAGATGACATTCTCCTGCTAGGATTTAAAGTACTTGAATTATTATTCCTTTTGGTTTCCCAGTGGAAAATAAGGTTTCAACAGCCTGTGTGCATTTTATTCTGGTCCTTCTAGTCCTCTTAAGAGAGCTTCCTGATAGCCCAGTTAGCTTTTATTTCCAACTCACTATCTTCTCCATGTCACCGTCAGATATCCGACACATCCTTCCTCATTTAGGTTCCACTTGAGAGTTTGCGTCAGTGGCACAGCTGTTAGGACGCTTGCCGACCATGCACATGGTCCTGGGTTCGATCCCCGGCTGACTCACTCCTTTACCTCGCTGAGCCAGAAATAATGCTGGTAAAGAGGAAAGGTTGGGCATGAGGCTAGCAACCCCATCCTGTAAAATAAACACCACTGCTACAGAAACTTCAAATCACTAGCTTGAAGCCCTATGTTCCACTGGGGAACGTGAAGGAAAAAAACATGAGAGTTTGCCTGATGCGTGATGTCACTCAGCGGTCTTCTCAACGTGTTTCCGACCCATCTCAATTTCCTTCAACATATTTGTTGGACAATAAGTTCTTGGTTGGCTAATTTGATTTTCGGTGTCGAGTGAAATAAGCTGTACTCGAGGATATTGTAGCACACAATATGCTCTTCATTGTTTTTGTCTTTTTCCACTAACTCAATTTTCGCAATTATATTTTCCTTTCTTTCTTTCTTTTTTGCATTTTATTATGTACACAGGCATTACTGGATATGAAGCGAGCAGCGCATCGAGCAAAATTTGGTATGGAAATGCCAGGCTCTTAAATTGTTTGCTTTTTTCTCCCCGCCAATCCCATCCTTTTGGTGATGCCTTCTTTTACACACCGGTGTGTGTGTGTGCGTTTGTGCTTACTCGTGAGTGAGTGAATGGTGACTGTGTAAATCCGTGTTGTGAATTACTCTATTCTTTAAACGAAACAAACTATACACTACACAGAGACTGTCTCATTCTTATTGTTACCATTACTGTTCTCTTTTTCTCTTTCCTCCCAGCGGATCTCTCTGTTGTTCTGCTTCGTCTTTATTATTATAATTTCAGGTGTTTTATGATCTCCAGATCTATCTACACTTGTAGGAATATTTCAATCTTGGATCTCTTCAATCCTTCGCTGTCTCTATCCCCCTTTCTCATCACCATCATCATCACCGACGGTAGGGCCGTCAGATCTCAGGTCCAATCTCTTCCCCCTCCCCTCTTCGATTGAACTATCGTATACACTCCACATATCAACTGCTCACTCACTCACACGCACACACACAATGTATCCTGTTGTTATTGTTCTCGTGTTTCTGTCGTCCTTTTTTTCTATTTTGTAACTTCAATAGTGTGTGTGGGGGGGAGTGTATGTTATCAGTAAGCACACACAGTGTGTTTCAATCTATTGTCTACCAAAGTTCGTTTTTCTAGAAAAGAAATATTGTAAAAGAGCTTTGAAACAAAGAGAAACCTTTTTTTCCTTATATATGTGTGAATTGAGAAATCAAAAAGATGAATACTATCTCTGATTAAGTACAAATTCTTTTCTTCTGTGTTCTCCTGTTGTTGTTGTCGTTAAAATTCTGTTCCGCGTTTTGTTTACCTTGTTTTTGCGTGTCTGTCTGTCTATTTGTGCTTGTTATGTAATGATTTTATTGTGTGTGTGTGTGGGCGTGATTTAATTATGAGTAGTACAGCTTTCATGTGCCCTAAAGTGGTTGGCCGGGATGCTCACCAACTACTCACGGGGTTCGATTCCCGGCGGCTGAGTCACTACTACTCCTTAACCTCGAAAGCGAGGGAAAGTTGGGGAGCAGGAGGTGGACGGCTGGTAACCCGAAACCCCCCTGTGAAATCAGCAGCACCGCTACTGAAACTTCGATGCTTAAATCACTATATTCGACTTGGAAGTCAAAGGAATGGAAAAAGGAAGTTTAGGCGCCAAAATAGGTGGGGGGATTTTGATATTATGTGACGATGATCGTCTTTAATGTTGTTATTATTTCAAGGATCGATACGTTATACACTAGGGGTCAAGGTCTAGTTGATACTATAGGGAGTATAGTCGTTCTAGGTGAAGATGTTCATAAAATGAAGAATGTATTCTGATCACTTTGCATAAAAGCTTAGCATTTTCGGCATCCAATTCGCCCATGTCAAATATAAGAAGATTATGATTTTTTTTCAGGACTGGTTTGTGCTGACTCTTAGTTTAGGAATAGAGAGTAATATTGAATACGTTGACCACTCGACTTATTGAGAAAGGTATGCCAACTCTAATGTACCGATTCCTAACAAAAAGAACCTAGCTGAATGGTCAACGAAGGCCCCGGGTTCGATCCGCCTGGTGGAGTAGTGGGTGCGCCTTGTTGAAGAGTCACGAAATGGGGCGAAATCGCCTTCCAGTACTACCGCGTTTTCAGTAATCTGTCTGATAAAACATTTGTTCATGCCAAAATCTACCAAATGAAATCTTTGGCTCAGGCATGATATCTAACTATCCATCTAATGGCGTGTTTACTATACTGTATCCTTCTTTGTAATTAAGAGACAAGTGGAGGATATGAAAAAGCTAGCCATCTTTGACTATCAACGATTGTGTGTTCTACCTCCCATCTAACGTGGTGTGGTATAATATGGTGAGAAATTTTGAAGTTTGATAAGGACGAAAAGTCGATTGAGAAGATTGTGAAGCTATTTCCATTGAAAAAAAGGGTTATGCATGCTGAGGCACTGTCTTCCTCTCCTAGCAGTTTTTAGGTGAAATAAAATAAGGTTAGAAGGGATTTATGGATAGTCAAATCAAAATATTGCATCTATCGATAAAGTCTTCGAAACTCTAAAAACCAATGGATGGAAACTGACTGTAGGTGATGTGGGTTGAAATCGTTCTGACAATGAAACACACATATATTCGAAATGCTAGTTGTATTGTAGAAAAGATCTTCCCAGGCCTTTCTTGCAATTAAACTACCCACCAATGTTTTTACCTAATCTCCGCTTATGTCACAACAAACTGTAGCTCGGACGAAGAAAATGATCTGTTCTGTTAAAAACTGTCTGCTGAAAACTGGGTAGCTGTTTCGTCCTAGCTTGGGACTCATCGGCAATACGCACCCACTGGGACCGAACTCAATGAACAGCACATGAACTCTAACTTCTACCAATTCGTGATTTTAGTGCGATTGGCACCAGCAAATGTCATCTCTGTAGAGTATTTGTCGTTAGTTCCGGGCTGGTGGACCCTACTGGTCACCACCTGGGTTCGAAACCTGGTGGGTGCGTGCTGTCGATGAGTTCCAAGCTAGGACGAAACAGCTGTCCAGTACTCCCTGTTTTTCAGTGGTTGGTTCTCTAACTAATATTATTCCGTGATCGAAATTGAAACAAATCAAGTCCTTACAAAAAACTCTTGAAAAACTGTCTAATTATCTCCTAAAAGCAAGACGCTCAGATATAAACGTTTTAGCAGGTGCCTTCAATGCTCAAGTAGGGAGGTTGTGCCTACCAGATAGGTATGCTGGCGGCACATACGGAGTTCCGTGCTGAGGAATCAAAAACAGTTATCGTTTTCTACAGTTCTGTTCAAAAAATCATCTATTCCTGGTCAGCATTAACTTCAAACATAGAGTTATTATTATAGGTTTCCAGGCCGTAGGTGTTACGAACTTCCTGGAATAATTTGAGTGCCGAGTCAGATTGATTCATTATAAACTATTTAAATTAATCCCAGCGTGTTAAGAAAATCTTGTTTTGAGTTATTGCCTAACCTGTCGGTCTCCATAATCAAAATAACGGTGGACTCAAATAGACGACATAGTGATGAGCCGTCGATCGCGAGGGTCGGTGGGAGAATGTCTCTCCTTCTGGAACACTTGTGTAGGTTCTGACCACGTCTCACTCCATGCATGTATATGCCTACGATTAAACGGACGTAGAAAACATACAGCGAAGAAGTCTTGACGCTTCCAGATTGGTCAGGACACAAATTCCCTATCCAAGAAAGAAATAGCCAAATGCGTATCTGGGATTGACAGCAAGACTCATCCTGGGGAGGACTGGCATAATATCCCGTCATCTGCAGAGAGAGAGGTAAAGGCTGTTGATAAAGTAAAACCAATGGTTAGAAAATGCTAGTGTGTTTTTGCTGTTGCTTCATCAGTGGCCTCCTAGCATGATAAGGAGCGAAAACTGCTCAAACACAAACTGACCAACAGTATTCGCAATGACCGCGTACTTTGGTGGGCGACAAAAGCGACACAGATGGAAACAACTATTTAGGCTTATTGGAAAAGCAGTTCACAAAAGGCAGATGATAAGAGAGATAGTTTCCGAAAAAGGTGGTGCCGTAATTAGTCCTCAGGATAGATGACTGGAACGCTGGGGAGAGCAATTTAGCTGGTATACAGCCACGCCCAGCCAGCAGCAACCAACACCTACCTGAATGAGATGCAGACATCGGTCTTCTACCTTTAACTGAGGCTAAAAAGGCTTTCTCTAATCTGAAACGAGGCAAAGTAGCAGGACCCAGTGGAATGACTCCAGAGGTGTTAAAGAACGGTGCTGAGGAACTGGGTTAACCAATGTATTAAATAATTTCTGAGAATCAGAGACAGTTCCATTAGGCTGGTGTAAGTAACCGAATATCCCAGCATACAGGAAGGGAGACAAGTTTTCCTGTGATAATCATAGGGAGATGAGGTTGACTAATATAGTATCTAAAGTTCTAGACTCAATAATCATGCTCAGACTAAGTAATACTCGTGAGAAACAAACCCAAGCAAGATAGGCAGGCTTTAGGCCAAGAAGAGATTGTCTTGATCATATATTCATCACTCGGCAGATGCTGGAACATACTTGCCGATGCCCAATAATAGCCAAGTTTCTTCACTTGAAGGAAGAACTTGACTCTCTCGACCAACAGGTGCTTTGGAAATGTTTGGCTGCGAAGGAAATGCCGAGAAAATACACTGCACTGATCAAGGCACTCTACTCGAACTCACACTGTTGTCTAAGAGCTTATGGAGAGTTGTCATATGAACTGATGACAACTAGAGGCGCTCGCTGTGCCCATTTTTGTTTAATTTCATTATAGATGTATGTATTAGTGAATAGATTGGGCCCTAATTGAGTTTGAAGACTTAGTGATTGGCTTGTTGCCAGGATACAGTTTTGTTGACATCGAGTAAATAAATGATATCGTCCTACTAGTTAAAGATGATGGTAAAATGCAAAGTCTTCTGAACACTTTGGGCAAAAATCCTCATTTGTTTGGCTCCTTACATATGTACGATGATACTACAGGACTAGACTACATTGACTCACTTGTAGCTTAAAGATAAGCAGGAGGGAAGTGGTTGGTAGAGTGTGCTGACCACTTCACTAATTTGGGAAGTTGCATCAGCCGCAATGGAGTGATTGCTGACGGGTACAAAAGGCTTATGTGGAATTTACCAAATTATGCCATATCAGGCGCAGACGTTGATATTCAGCTATCGACCAAAGGACAAATGTACTGTGCAGCAGTTATCTCTGTCTTCCTTTTTGGCTGTGAGACACGGTTATTGGAATTGGAAGACATTATAAGACTAGCTGTCTTTGAACGCAGATACTTATGTTCTATCTCCTGGATTAAGTGGTAAATTTGGCGAGTAATATTGAGGTTAGGCGCAGAGTATTAGGTAGGGTGGATAAGTTAGTTGATCAGGTTCTGAAGCTACATCGATAGAAATGGCTGGGACACGTCGGATGCACACCAAGCTATCGCCTTCCTCAACGGGCGATGTCAGCCGACATTGAACTAGGTTAGAAAAGGCTTAGGGATGGTCAAACCAAAACATGACATCAATCATTGAATTCACCGACAGTTCGAAGTGTAGGATGCCTGGCTGGGGTTACCGGGATTCTAAGGACCAATACTTGGAGGTGATATGGCTAAAAATTGTTCTCAATGGCGTAGATGCACTCACCTTTTCTAATCTTCCATATCCACTACACCGTTATAGGTTTTTTCTACGTTACTATTATTTCTCCCTTACATTTCCACTGAGTATGGTCCCTATGAATCTCTTCCTCTCTATCTCTTGTCTACTTCTCTGTGTGCTACACAGTATGTGTCAACTTGAATTACTGCACTTCTAAGCACAGTTCTATGTTGGAACTCAACCAGTCAGTCAGTTGTTACTATCCGTGTTTTTTCGTACACCAGATTAGGTTGAATTCGAGTTCATTGTAGCCAAATTGTCTACAACTTTAACTGACTGATTTGTTTAGAGAAAAAAAAATGGTACTTTATATTCATATTCAAGACATTAAAAGATAGTGATTGAAGACATGGTGCGTATTCCATTGGCGATTCTGATTTTGGGCATTCTTAGTAACCTCTTCACCTAAGTGTTCCTTACTTTCTCACATACTTTTTCCCTGATCCCATCATCAATCTTTTTCTGCTTGTTACTTTGCTGAGATATATCTTTTTAATTCCTATCATATGGGTATTTCTTCATTTTTTCTTCGTCTGCTAATATGATG